GATGGATGGATGGATGGATGGATTTACGCACGTTTCCTGAAGATAGAAGAGTTTGTTGAATCTGACGTGACATGTTCGTACGAACCCTTTGTACGAACAAAAGTAAGAGAAATTTAGGAGAAGAATACGAACGGTTCTTGCATGAGGCCCAATGTTCATCATATTCTTTGCTTCACTCTTCATAGAAACCTTACCTGTCTCAATACTTTATATTTGTCTGTGCCTCCTGCTCTCCCAACCCTAAACTGATGGATCCAGATGGTTCTGCTCTGTGTCCCTTCCTTTTGAAAGGGTCATTTCATGACTCTAATGTGCTGCTTAGACCAGAGGATTGCTCTGAAGTGAAGCTACAACAGTCAGGTATGAATGGATTAAATTGACTGAGCTCACCTTTTCACTGTTTGTGGATTGTACAGGTAGATCTTCATAAAGTGCTTCTCCTTGGCGTGATAACCGTAGAAAGGCCTACAAGACAAGTAACAGCTGTCTGTGTACGCCTGTGTGAGAGTTCAGGTCCGTCCTGCTCCTAGTCACTTACATGCCAGAGACCAGCACCACCTTGAAGACGTGCTGGGTGTTGGAGGCGGGGTTTCCCATGGCCACGTTAAGCGCCCTGTCGATGCTGAACGCCACCTGCCGCAGGTAGCGCTCTGGCTGCTGGGAGGAACCATCGTACGGCACGTAGATGTAGGGGAACACACCATGGAGATGGAGACACGTCTTCTGACCTGCAGCACAACATGAACACAAACTGGGTTAGCATCGGTGACTTGAATCGCGTTGACTCGAAAAGTTAATTACTTGCAGTGTTAAAAATTAGTCTTGTAGCTTCTGGGATATTTTAGAAACAAAAAAGGCACAAAAATACACAAAAAACATTATTGATCATTTTTGCTTTCTGGCAGTAGGCAGGAGAAATTACCAGTTCTACTGTACTGCAGGTATCCCATCTTATTTTTAACAGTCACACCAGTCATGCAGCTGATTCTACTGAAGACGGATTTAAATCCACTAAAACCAATAAGTTTAAGTTAGGTGGAGCGAGCTGAGGGTCCAGTAAAGTTTTACTGCCCCCTACGCTCTTTGGCTGAGGGCAACAAAAGGCCTGTAAATTAGGGATGTTCTGATACAGATTTTTTGGTTCCTGATTAGGGTTGGGCAATATTGGCAAAAAAATTAATCATGATTAATTGTGGTATTTAGCTGATAACGATTAATTTGATGATTAATCCCCTGGACACCCTTATGTCCTGGTCACATGACCAGTTTAGTGGGAAAGATTATCTCTTTGTAAAAATCTGTTACAAATTGTCAAAATTACAGACTTCAGGCTTTACATCACATTTTAAATTGTGTTGATAGATAAATAAATTACAGAACTTTTTTTAATGTCATATTTGAAGCAGAAAGGAGCACCGACTGGACTGACCGGAGAAATCTCCAATCAGTCTGCCTGCTGGCATTAATTATATTAATCGTCAAGGGCCAAAAAAGAATCGATTAATGTTTTTCTGATGATTAATTGCACACGATACTGAAGAAATTTTGTAACTGATTTGTAAGAAAATACGTGTTCAATACGACTGAAGTCAAGATGAAAACACAATTGTTAAATAAAATGATTTGTRAAAGGAATAAAGTCATACAACACCAGAATTCTGGACCTGAGTGAGGTTTATTTGTCACCGGGTTGACAAGGAAACCACACTGCCCAAAAGCCAGGAAGTACACGTTTTTATACATGATTCTTCAATGCCTGAGTTCGCCCCCTACTGACCTACGGCTGAATCACAGGTATTCATACAATAAACTCAACCTMATGTTATCATATGGTTCACTTATGTGTTGTTTGTGATTCAGACATGTAACTACCCTATATCAATAAATCACACATTATAAAAATATTATAAAAAGGAAACCCTAATAATCTAGTGTTGTACTTCTAACATCAGTACTAATCTGTAATAACTATAAATTTCTTCAGATTAATTGAATATTAGATTCAGTTTTGTATTTGATACTTTCTGATCATTTCAGTCTGTAAGGTTGAAGCTGACAAAGAGTTGGTGTGTGTGTGTGTGTGTGTGTG